GGAAAACAAAAGAGCCAAGGCAACACCAGTGGCAACTTTTAAGAAGTTTTTAAAAACTGAGAATGTAAGTGATGAGTACGTACACATTTGCATTTCTATCCGACCAGTTGGCTTCGTGTGGGCGTGCGGTCGACATTGACTTTGATTATGACAAGCGTTTTCTGAGAGGCGAAAGCAGAACACTACCATTGAAAGAAGATAATCGAGATGAAGCTGAGGAGCGCGGAATCTCCCAAGTCGCACAGAAAATCGCAGACAAAACAAAGCAGTTGGGCAAGAAGACCGAGGAAATATGGAAGCGCATCCAAGCGTGGTACTTCGCGAAGGAGGCGCCAAAACTCAAGCGCAGATTTGAGGAGCTGCTTGATGAGGGCAAATCTTATGCCGAAGTCGAGGCTCAATGGAGCAGTCTCTTATGGAGTGGCTGGTGGTCAACACCACCTGGGTTCAAGAGATTCCTTAGACAGTATGATGATTTTCTGAGGGAAAATAAGCGCTTCGATCTCGTAAAAAAAACGAATTAATGATGAAAGCCGTGATTACCCTGTCGTGAAAGCATCAATAAAACGATGCGTTTGCTTCTGGCAGTGTTTTAGTGGCATCAGTCACTCATACATTACATCTGATAAAATGCCCTAACTGTCGAATGTGTGTGGCTTCTACATATGCAAGCCTCGCCCTCAATAACGTTATTGTTGATAAAATGCCGAGATGTATGTGAGTGGGGCTCCAAGATAGATTTGGTGTTTCTTAGTTAATTAGTTCACTTTATTTGTTTGACATATGCTTTTAATTAAGCAAACTTTGTGTTCCGCGTGATACCAAGGTAAGTGCAAGAACTAGCTCTTGGGCAATGCGAGCAAAACTAGAAACCGAGCTCGCTATCTCAGGCATCCATCGATCTCATAGAATAAGCGACGGTTGAACCTAATGTCGTAATTTCGTTGATCGCCACGAAAATCACAGCGAACACATAGTATGTATGTAAACATAAGAAAAAAAATTCAACGTATACCACGAAGAATCGGGCATGCTGCAGCGTATTCAACCAGCTTCCAATACCAAATAGAACTTTTTGACATCAATCCCACCAAAAAATAATAGTGGACGAGGGCGGGGGGGGGTCTGGTAGTACTGAGTAAAATCTCTATATGATTTGGTATAACGTCTGCGACTTACACTAGATGCCGAATGATCAAAGGTATGGCTCACCCCATCGTTGGAGCGCTAGTGTTTGCAAGCATACGTTGAGCTGGACCGAGCCCGAGTTGCAATATATTCACGCTTGCTTCTTCGTCGAAGCACGTACCAGAGTTCAGCTTGAAATAGTGACCACGCTATACAGACGCGCTGCTTGTTTTGGTTTACTTGGAGCATCTACCGCCTTAGAGTATCGTGTGTGTACAAATCAGAGAAGTCGTAAACTCTTCTTGAGTCTGCCGAACTGCAGCCACAAGCTTCAGCAAGAACTTTCTGTTGCACACAACTAAATATCCTTAACAGCACACATACAAAAGTGTTTTGAGACCGCCCAAAGCAACAGGAGTTAAGAAATGAGCTATCAGTGACTATACCAATTTCTAATTTTTCGTACACTGCACAAAATATAATTGGAGAATACTATTTGCGTTGGTCATCATCGATCGCAAACTGTTAGTCTAATCATTTTACTCTGAAATGTTTACCGGCATACTTGCACATGCAATACTTCTGAAGTACAACGCAACAGTTGTTTGTGAAACACTGATTGGGTTAACCCTTTTGCAACTTGGCCCTCACTAAGTTAGCGGGTGGTATTCATACTAGCAAGTCCATTAAACGGTCCAATGTTACCTCTACTAAACATCATTTACAACCACCACTTCATTGGATCCCACAATTTTGTTGCACTTCGGTTTGTTTAGTCTGATTGTGATTAATAATATGAACATGTACCTACAGACGTGCGCATTGCAAATTGAGCTTGATCTTGACTCGTATCTTTTAAACTCACATTTGGCGATTTACTAGAAAATATACCAATGATATACCATATTACATGCGTTTGTGAGTTCTTAGTGTGAGTCGTGCAAGTCCACTAGAATAGCTCCTTGGTACATGTATCATTATCAACACACCGCCAGGTATCACTGGTTTCTTGCTGTCTTCCGGTTTCCACTTAGATCCGTCCGTTGTTTTGAAAACGGATAAGTACCCGCCGATTCCAAACTGCACAATAGGTGAAGTAAGTCGCGGCGTCATAAGCCAAACGGGCGCAGTTCGAGGAACTGGTGGTGGCCAAGCTCG